GCGCAAACCTCCACCGCTAAAACCTCCACCACTGGAACCCTCCACCGCTGGAGCCTCCACCACTGGAACCTCCACTGCTGGATCCTCCAGTGCTGGAACCTCCAACAGTGGAGCCTCCATTGCTTAAACCTCCATCGCTGGAACCTCCACTGCTGGAGCCTCCACCACTGGAGCATCAACCGCCGGAGCCTCCACCATTGGAGCTTCCATTGCTTAAACCTTTACCACTGGAGCCTCCACTTCTGGAATTTCCACTGCTTAACCCTCCACCGCTGGAGCCTCCATGGCTGGAGCCTCCACCACTGGAACATCCACCACTGGAGCTTCCATTGCTTATACCTCCACCACTGGAGCCTTCACCTCTGGAGCCTCCACTGCTTAAACCTCCACCGCTGGAGCCTCCACCACTGGAACCTCCACTTCTGGAATCTCCACTGCTTAACCTTCCACCGCTGGAGCCTCCACTGCTGGTACTTCCACCACTGGAACATCCACCACTGGAGCCTCCACTGCTTAAACCTCCACCTCTGGAGCCTCCACCACTGGAACATCCACCTCTGGAGCCTCCACCACTTGATCTGCAAACTCTAAACCCAACTGGCTAAAGCAGCCTGAGCTCCAGTTTGACAAAGTAACCAACCAGCACCTGCAGTTATTGAGGACCACACACAGACACCTGGCTGGAAATGATTTCAAGCAATTATTAAAAGATCTTTGTCTTCTTGTTGTCACATGACACATTGACATTATTGCACAAAATCATAAACATAAATGTGGTGAACAGTACCTACAGAAAAAAATCTACATTTTAACGTACAGAGAGCCGTCTTTAGAGGGCATTCAGTTATTCTCAATGTCTTTGGTTGTGTACAGTTTTTTCTACGTAACTAATTACTATTTTTCCACACACTTAGACCAGGTCCAGGCACAGGTTCTTGTTCTGATCCTGGTCCTAGTCCTTGTCCTGGTTCTAATCCTGGTTCTGGTTCTGGTCCCAGATGACTCTGACCTCCCTCAGTGCTGAGTGTAAACATCTCTGGGTAATGACAGGTTGTGCAGCCTCCTGTAAAACGAGTCTTACTGGAAGCTCAGTGTTTATGTTCTCATGGAAACAGTCTGGAGACGCTCAGCTCTGCTCGGCAGCAGCAGCTCATACCTTTATTAGCATCATTATACACAGGCAGGAATTTATGTGTCTCCTGAAGCAGAAATATTACAGACGAGTTATAAGCTGCTGACGTGGAAGCTGGAGTTTTATGATGTATTGAAGAGGAGACGGAGACCTGAGGAGGTGGACAGGGAGGACGGCAGGTTCCTCACGTGTCCTTTTGTGTTTCTGCTGCAGGGTGATCACCTACGAGTGCTGTCCTGGTTATGAGAAGATTCCTGGAGAGAAGGGCTGTCCAGCTGGTACCACCTCTCACACTCAACACACAAGATTCATTCTGACACGACTGAACTGTTGACTGTTGAGTGCTATGATCTGCGTGTGCTTGTCATTGCAGCGCTGCCTCTGGTGAACATATACAACACTCTGGGCGTGGTGGGAGCCACCACCACCAAGATGTACTCAGAAAGAGCCCAACTGAGGGAGGAGGTTGAAGGTCCTGGAAGCTTCACCTTCTTCGCCCCAAGTAACGAGGCCTGGGCCGCCCTGCCGACGGTCAGTACCGGCCAACATCCACCAACTGTCCCTGAGAACGGACTGGCATCATGCTGCTGACCTTGGTGCTGACTTGGGTAGAATAGAATAGAATAGAATAGAATAGAATAGAATAGAATAGAATAGAATGTTTTTATTGTCATCATACACAAGGTACAACAAAATAAAAAGACAACTCCAGTGGTGCAGAAGTATAAAAGTAAAAGTATAAAAAGACAGATAAGAATATCTACATGTATTTAAAGGAGCCAGTAGGACGTTTATACAGTCAGCCAGATGGTAGAATAAGTATATGGCACTGTTGGGGTAGGAACACTGTGGATAAATGAGAAATATAAATAAGAGAAATAAAGAATTATTATAAGTAATAAATATATGCAAAGTACAGAGTACAGTATCATGTATAATGATAATTAAAAACGTAGTTATGATATAATTATATATAGTATAATACAGTATAGTATAATATAGTATCGTATAGTATCATATAAATAATAATATATGTGGTAAATAGAACAGATTATAGACTGATGTGCTTTCGGTACCCGTACTGCACTTGGCTAGAACGTGTTGGTGAGTCTGGATGTGCGGGCCTGGATGGACCGGTACCTCCTTCCTGAGGACAGCAGTGATGGTGATGCTTCTGGTGTCATAGATGTCTGACAGAGAGGACAGCTGTGCTCCCATGATGCTCTGTGCTGACTTCCTGACTCTCTCCAGAGCCTTCTTGTCAGCCTGAGAGCAGCTCCTGTATCTGTGTCTGTTGCTGTGCTGCAGGAGATCCTGGACGCTCTGGTGAGCAACGTGAACATCGAGCTGCTGAACGCTCTTCATTACCACATGGTGAACCGCCGGCTGACCTCCGAGGAGCTGAAGCATGGATCCTCCTTCCCCTCCATGTACCAGGACTCCCACGTCCATATTCACCACTACAGCAACGGGGTGAGTGAACACACACTCTAACACACACTTTAACACACTAATTCACACTGGGACCCACTGGAACAAACAGACACTGTGGACTTGGACAGAATAACAGATGCCTCATCTCCTCAGATCGTGACAGTGAACTGCGCTCGTCTGATCAAACCCGACCAACATGCCACCAACGGCATCGTGCACGTGGTTGACCGTGTTATCACCGCTATCTCCAACGACATGCAGGCAATCATTGACATTGACGACGACCTGGAGACGCTGCGCGTGAGTACATTCATCAGAGAGTGAGTCAGTCAGTGGTGCAGGAATAATCAGAAACTCTTCTGAAAGATGAAATGTGTTGTGTGCGTCAGCCAGCTGTCTCCAGTCTACCACTGTGCTCTGAGGTCTATAACTGGTTGGAGTCGCCTCCTGCCACTGTGACCTGTATGCTAAAGCTGGCCGGCCTTCCTTGAACAAAAGACGACACGGTCACTGGATGACTCTGATCTATAAGGCTCTTCTCGGATTGGTTCCTGTTTATTTCGTCTGTTCTCTTCAGAGAATTAAAAGCCATTCTGCCTTATGGTCAAAAGATGTTCTGCACCTGCTCCTCGTGTTCGGACTGAAATGGGAAAAAAAGCTTTTAGTTTCTCTGCCCCCTCTGCTTGGAATACCCTTCAATGGGAGCTAAAAGTGTTACTGATCCTTATGGGGCGCCGCTACAGCTCACCTGGTTGAGCTGGCGTCCCATGTGCAGGGCGACAGTCCCCATGTGGAGGTCGTGGGTTTGAATCCCACTCATGGCCCTTTCCCACACGTCCTCCCCCATTCTTCTCCCCTACTTTCCTGTTTCTCTCTCTCTCTGCACCATGAAACAAAGGCCAAAAAAATAAGTTAAAAAAACAAAGCTGTCGGCGCTCATGTCTGTTGAAGCCTTGAGTTCTTTCCTAAAGGACCGGCAACAGAATTCCACTCAGCAGTGCTGTTACTCCAAAGCTCATCGCTCCTGCACTTTATCTGCTTGCTGTCTGCACGCTCCATTTTTCATCTTTATCTTGTCTTCTGTTGTGTTTATTTGTGGACGTGTGCTGCTGCCTTTCTCGGCCAGGTCACCCTGGTGAAAGAGGTTTTGATCTGAACGGCTCTTTTATCTGGTTAAACAAAGGAAAAATACCACAAATAAAAATACGTTCTGTGTTTCTGCGTCTCAGACGGCCTTCGCCGCCGCCGGTCTGACCTCCATCTTGGAGAATGAGGGTCAGTACACCGTTTTCGCTCCCACCAACGAGGCCTTCGAAAAGATTCCTGCGGAGACCCTGAACAGAATCCTGGGAGACCCCGTGGCTCTGAGAGGTACCAGCAGGAGGCGCTGTCTGCCTCTGTTTGACATGTGATGATGTTTGCAGTTGAGCTGAGTCCACCTCTGTCGCCCCCCTCAGACCTGCTGAACTACCACATCCTGAAGCACATGCAGTGTGCCGAGTCGATCGTGTCCGGGACCCCGATGGAGACGCTGCAGGGCACCGTGCTGGAGGTCGGCTGTGACGGAGACCAGATGACTCTGAACGGAAAAGCTATCATCACCAAGAAGGACCAGCTGGGAACCAACGGAGTCATCCACTACATCAGCGAGCTGCTCATCCCAGACTCAGGTACTGATACTGGAGTTAGTACCAATAATGCTACCACTGAAACTGATACTGCATCTAATACTTGTAAAGTACTGCAACTGAAACAAAGATGGACCCACCTCATCAATGAGAGGCTCATTCCAGATCCAGGTACTGCTGATACTGCACCTTCTACTGAAACTACTGCTTCTTCTAATGCTGAGAAAGTACAAGGCGTCCCGACTAAACTAAAAATAAATGAAAAGAAACCATCATCCACTAAATCTACAAGCTGCACTAACGACTGGTGCTGTCAATGCTGCAGTATAGGCTGAGTCTACTCCCTCCTGTCTGGTAGAAACTGACCATTAGTTCTAGTTCAGATTGCAGCACCAGGGCTTCTGACTTATTTGATCAGACCACATCACATCAGACCAGTCGTGCACTTTTCCATCAGCTCGTTGTTCACTTTGATTTGTGGTGATGGTGTTTAAAGCTCACCGCAGTGTGAACCCAAGACAGGCAGCAGAAATGTTGCTGCTTCAACAGGAGCTCACAGCCTCAGACCTCCAGGTGTAACCCCTCTGAGGGTTTGAATCTAAAGAGTCTTTTTCCATCTAAGCCCTTCAGCTGTGGAGAAAAGGCTGCAGTATCTCTGACTTCTTTTAAATCCCGTTGCAACTGCTTCGGTCTGACGAAGTGAAGGCCATGCATCATTTCCTCTCAGTCAGCCGACAAATCTACAGAAATGAAGGACACATACAACAGTTCAACTACACAAAGTTTCACAGAAAAGTGAAGCTGTAAGTAATTAGATGGATTCAAATGAAAAGAAGTCTTTCAAGCTCGATTCAGTTCAGCTGCTGGCAGTAATGCCTCACAGCGTCCATACGACTAATATCACTAATATAAAAGAAACAAAGCTGAAAAGGCACGGTCATCGTGTGCTTCTCAGACCGGGCACAATAGTTATTTTGGGCCATATCGTCTATTCCACCTTTCCCCTCATCTCACAGGTGTGACCCTGAACCAAACGGTGGTCATGTGACTTGTTGCATCCTCCATCGAGTCAACTTTGTCAGAAACAGCACCATGTTTCTCGTTTATTGTATTTTCCAGCTGTTTTGATGATCATATAAATTCAAACATTTATGAAATTATGGCAGAATATAAAAACAAATCTGTCTTTTGGACATTTACACACTCGTTCAAACTAATTTTACAGACTTTCTTTTCTGGGATTCTGTCCTTCTGTTGTTGATTGAGGTTCAGCACCTTGTAACTCTTAATATTGATGAAGTTGTTGTTATTGTCATAGAAGCATTGTACCCAGCAGCACTAGCAGCGCTGCTTTGTCTCCTGCAGCTAAAACTCTCCTGGAGCTGGCTGAAGGTTCGTCTGTTTCCATGGCCACCAAGTTGTTTGTGGAAGCGGGTCTGACATCCCACCTGACGGGCTCGGAGGCTCTGACCCTGCTGGCTCCTCTGGACGAAGCTTTCAAAGGTAATTCCCCCACGCCGACTTCGTCTCCTCAGATCTCTCCTTCATCATCTCCTCGTCATTTCTGTGTTAGTTCTGTTTTTCAATGAGGCCTAAACATATTGAAACGTTTGAATAAAGTTTGATAAAAACACAGAAGCTTTGCTGACCTGGAGCTAGCGTGTGCAGCAGCCCTGTGGAACCGTCACCGACATGTCACATGATTCTAAACTTCATCAGCTGCATTACTTCGACACTACTTTCTCTGATGAATGACCACAAACAAATCCTTTAGAAAAACTATATTTTGAAAATTCAGGCCCCAAAGCAGAAACTCAACGCAACCAAAGTGAATCCAGTTGTGATGACTGAAGCTAAACTGAGTCCACCTGTGAGTTCCTGTCAGTCGAACTGCATGAACATGGTTCTAAAATGAACTGCCGACACCAGAACTTTCTCAGTTTTGTTGGTTAAATGAATATTCATGTTTTCAAATAAATGAATCATCGTGTTTATGTACGACCTGTCCAGGGTGTCCCCTGCCTTCGCCCTGAGTCAGCTGGGATAGGCTCCAGCCCCCCACGACCCTAGTGAGGATCAAGCGGTGTAGAGATAATGGATGGATGTGTCTATGTATTGTGATTTCAATATCAATCAAGACTAATTATTATTTTTGCCATAATTTTCCAGCCAAAGAAGCAGGTCTGTGTTCAGTGTGTTTAATGTCTCCTCACTTGTGTCTGACAGGCAGCGTGACGATGACTCCCGACATGAGGAAGCTGATGACCAACCACATCATGAAGGAGCAGCTGTCCTCCAAGGCTCTGTACCACGGTCAGGAGCTGGAGACGCTGGGAGGCCTCAAGCTCAGAGTGTTTGTGTACAGAAATGTAAGAACATCAACATTTTAGAGAGCAGTGTTGCCACACCGTCTCAGATTCTCTTTATCTATCTATCATTTGGGAGTCAGTACTTTAAAATATTTTGGCGGAATTTTGAGAATTTCAGATATTTTCAGACCTGGGATATTGTTAGATATTATACAGTAGAAACCACTGGTTTACATCCACTGAATAAAAGACATGAAGTCAGTCAGGATCACCAACATTAGTTCTATTTGCTAAACACCAGAATAATGAGAGAGAGAATTTTTATGACTTTCTTCAGAGTCAGAAGTTTCCATCCATCTCCTCAGTATCTGCTAGCGTTGCCTTTAAACTCTATGACTTGGGTCAAACGTTCTGGGTTTCCTTCCACAAGCTTCTCACAACAGTCTGATGAGTTCTGGCCCATTCCTCCTGACAGAACTGGTGGAACTGGGTCAGGTTTGTTGGTCTCCTTGCTCCACTGATGTTCTCCAGGATGGAGATCAGGGCTTTGTGATGGCCACTCCACAACACTGACTCTGTTGTCCTGAAGCCTCTCTGTAGCTAATCTGGAGCTATGCTGAGGGTCATCGTCCATCTGAAGACCCATTAGTGCCCAAGCTTTAACTTCCTGCTGATGTCTGGAGATGTTTCTTCAGTATCTCCACATCATGTTCTTTCCTCATGATGCCATCTATTGTGTGAAGGTCACCAGTCCCTCCACAGCATGATGCTGCCACCCCCGTGCTCCACAGCTGGGATGGTGTTCTCAGGCTTCCAGCTTCCTCCTTTTTCCTCCAGATGTACCGATGGTCATTAAGGCCAAACAGTTCAGGTTTAGTTCCATCAGACCACAGGACATGTCTCCACTGATGAAGCTCTTTGTCCCTGTGTGCATCTACAGACTGTAATCTGTCTTTTCTATGGTTCTTCTGGAGTGATGTCTTCTTCCTCTCTCAGCAGCCTTCCAGCCCATGTCGGTACAGGACTGGTTCCACTGTGGATAATGACTGTCTGACCAGCTTCAGCAGCATCTTCACAAGGTCTTTATCTTCTGTTCTGGGGTTGATTCGCACATTTCAACCAGAACACTTCATGTCTGGACACAGAACCGTCTCCTTCCTGAGCCTATGATGGCTGGACATTCCCATGGTGGTTATACTGATAGAACTGTCTGAACAGATGAACGTGGAACCTTCAGCCATCTGGAAGTTGTACCCAAGGATGGACCAGACTGGTGGAGGTCCACAGTTCTCCTCCTGGTATCTTGGCTGGTTTCTTTAGATGTTCCATGTTGTCACTAAAGGCAGCAGTGTGTTTGAGGTGTGCCTTAAAATACATCCACAGGTGTTCCTCCAGGTAACTGATGTTGTCAATTAACCAATCAGAAGCTTCCAAGGCCATGACATCATCATCTGGGCTTTCCCAAATAGCTTGAAGGATCTTAGTGGATGTAAACTTCTGACTTTGAAGAACGTGATGAAGCATTCTCTCTGTCATGATTCTGGTGTTTAGCAAATAGAACTAATGTTGGTGATCCTGACTGACTTCATGTCTTTTATTCAGTGGATGTAAACCAGTGGTTTCTACTGTATGTTTAAGGTTCAGTATCTCCAGAAGTGAAACTCTCACAGACAGAATTGTTTTCACCAGATCCAACTGCTTGAACAGCTCTAGCAGAGAAGAAATGTATAATTATTGGTCCTTGAAAATGGAAAAAAGTGAAAAGTTTTCAAAGAAGGCTGGTATTGGGGCCCTAGAAAGCTTCTGTAAGTGTATATATGGATTCAATTCAATTCAATTTAATATTTTTTTCTTTTTAAAGAACGCAGAGTTTAAAGAGAACCCAACAAGCCAAAGTAGCCTTTGGACTCCCTCTGAGCAAGTGGTCGGCAACGGTGGGAAGGGAAATCTAACATCAGTAGAAGTTTATGTGTTATTGACAAACCAACGAGCCAGTTTGTACTGTTTTAACAAACAGGTGATGGAGACTCATCTGTAGGAGCACATAAACTGGAGGTCTTGTCACTATATGTGCAAAGCTACAAGCTGCTTGTTGTCTTCATGTTAGAATTTAGCAACATATGGCTACTTGGGCTAATTTGGCCTTTACGTTCCCATACAGAACCCTGAACAGAAAACTAATGATAATTCAACACACATCACAGTAAACTTTGTGTTTGTCGAAATTTAATTGAATTCAATTTTATTTGTGTAGTGTGTATGTCATCTCACAGTGCTCAGCATAGGAAGGCATAGACCTCAGCTTGCCCTCTCCGGGTCGATGGAGAGTCCTTGCCTCAAGTGGAGGAGTTCAAGTATCTCGGGGTCTTGTTCACGAGTGAGGGGCGGATGGAACGTGATGGATTAACAGATGGATCGGTGCAGCGTCTGCAGTGTTGCGGTCGCTGTACCGGACCGTCGTGGTGAAGAGAGAGCTGAGCAAGGCAGCAAAGCTCTCGATTTACCGTTCAATCTACGTCCCAATCCTCACCTATGGTCATGAGATCTGGGTAATGACCGAAAGAACGAGATCGCGGATACAAGCGGCCGAAATGAGTTTCCTCCGCAGGGTGGCCGGGCGCTCCCT